CATACTCTCCTCGGTCTCCCAAGTAGCATCACCTAGGGCTCCACCCTTCCAAATCACCTTCACGAGTCGGATGGTCTTATTGCGTAGTTGTTTGTCCTTAAAGTCCTCAATTCGCTCCGGTTCGGATCTAAAGGTCAAATTCTCCCTCAATTCTACTTCTTCAGGTTCAATAACATGGGAGGGATCCGGGTTGTACTTCTTCAACTGTGATACGTGGAACACATTATGGATACCTGCAATCTGTGGAGGTAATGCAACTCTATATGCAGTAGATCCAATTCGCTCCAAGATCTCATACGGGCCCATAAATCTAGGTGTCAATTTCTTTGCCTTAATGGATCTACCAATGCCTGTCACTGGAGAAACCTTCAAAAATACATGATCTCCTACTTCAAACTCTAACGGCCGTCTCCTCTTATCAGCATAGCTCTTCTGTCGGCTCTGAGCGGTTAGCAATTTTTGCTTAATCATTGCAATCTTCTGGGTGGTCTGCTCTACAATTTCTGGACCAATGATACTCCTCTCACTTAATTCTGTCCAACATAAAGGCGATCTACACTTCCTTCCATACAAGGCCTCATAAGGCGCCATCCCAATACTAGAATGATAGCTGTTATTATAAGCAAATTCAGCTAATGGCAAATGATTATCCCAACTACCTGGTAGTTCAATGGCACAAGCTCTCAACATGTCCTCCAAAGTCTGGATCGTCCTCTCTGTTTGTCCATCTGTTTGGGGGTGGTATGCGGTGCTAAAACTCAGTCTGGTACCCATAGCCTTCTGTAGCGCACCCCAAAAGTTTGAAGTGAACCTTGGGTCACGATCTGACACAATTCTAGAGGGTATACCATGAAGTCTAACTATCTCCTTAATGTATATCTCAGCAAATTTCTCTAATGTAGAGGTAAACTTGATCGCCAAAAAGTGAGCTGATTTGGTGAGTCGGTCTACTATCACCCAAATAGCATCCTTACTCGAGGGTGTTCTTGGCAGTCCAGTGATGAAATCCATGGAAATATCATCCCATTTCCACTTTGGAATATCTAACGGTTGCAGTGTTCCAGCTGGCTTCTGATGTTCTATCTTTATCTTCTGACACGTTAAACATCTAGAAACAAATTCAGTTACATCTTTCTTCATTCCTGGCCACCACCAACCTCGCTTCAAATCATGGTACATTTTAGTTATACCGGGATGAATTGTATATTTGCTCCTATGAGCTTCTTCTAAAAGGATATTCCTCAATCTTGGATCATTAGGTACACAAACTCTACCTTTATACTTCATCACTGTGTCCTCAGAGATGGTAAAATTTGGGGCCTTACCTACCACTATCTCCTTCCTTATATTCCTTAAGTAGTCATCACTCTGCTGTGAGACTCTGAGATCTTCCCAGAATTTGCTCTCAAAGTCTGCTACCTGGAGTGCGGCCATTTGATGTTCAATCACATCTACTGGAACATCATGAAAACTGTTCCACAAATGATATTCATGAACCATCAAATGTGCAGCATGAATAGTCTTTCTACTTAAGGCGTCAGCTACCACGTTAGCCTTACCCGGATGGTAATGTAATTCAAAGTCATAATCCTTCAGAAATTCCATCCATCGTCGCTGCCTCATATTAAGCTCTTTTTGATCAAATAAATACTTCAGGCTCTTATGGTCACTGAAGATTTGAAACTTAGATCCATACAAGTAGTGTCTCCATATCTTCAGAGCAAACACAACTGCAGCTAACTCCAAATCATGAGTAGGGTAATTTTCCTCGTGTGGTCTCAACTGTCTGGAGGAATAGGCAACCACTCGGTCATTTTGCATCAAAACACATCCTAAACCCTTTAAAGAAGCATCAGTGTACAGAGTGTACGGCACCACAGGGTCAGGAATAGTCAATACTGGAGTAGTGGTTAACCTCTTTTTCAATTCTTGGAAAGCAGCTTCACATTTGTCAGTCCAAATAAATGGGGCATCCTTCTTAGTCAGCTTAGTTAAGGGCATCGCAATTTGCGAAAATCCCTTAATAAAGCGACGATAATAACCTGCTAAACCTAAAAAGCTTCGTATCTCTGTAACAGATTTTGGCTGTTCCCACTTCATCACTGCATCAATCTTGCTAGGATCCACCGCAACTCCGTCTCTGGACACAACATGGCCCAAAAACTTTACTTCTTGGAGCCAAAATTCACACTTGTTTAATTTGGCATAAAGCTTATGTTCCCTCAAAACTTGCAAGACGATTCTTAAATGTTCACCATGAGCCTCCTCATCCTTTGAATAAATAAGAATGTCATCAATAAACACTACTACAAACTTATCTAAATAGGGTCGAAAGATCCTATTCATGTAATCCATGAATACCGCAGGAGCATTCGTAAGTCCAAACGGCATCACCATGAATTCATAATGCCCATATCTCGTCCGAAATGCTGTCTTAGGTATATCCTCTGCTCTCACTCTCAATTGGTGGTACCCTGACCTTAAGTCAATCTTTGAGAAAACTGCGGATCCCACAAGCTGATCCAGCAAATCATCGATTCTCGGAAGTGGATATTTGTTCTTGATGGTTACTTTGTTCAATTGTCTATAATCAATGCACAATCGGAGGCTTCCGTCCTTCTTCTTTACAAAAAGGACTGGAGATCCCCAAGGTGAAACACTCGGTCTGATGAAACCCTTCTCAAGTAGCTCTTCAATTTGCTTTTTCAGTTCCGCTAACTCTGAAGGGGACATCCGATAAGGAGCCTTAGAAATTGGCCCTGTACCGGGTACCAATTCAATTGAGAACTCTACCTCGCGCTTTGGGGGTAAACCGGAGACTTCGTCTGGAAATACATCCGCAAATTCTTTGACAATTGGGATATTCTTCACGCCTTCATCAATCTCAGCTTGGATAGAGAAGAAAACCATGTAGGCCTGGCAACCCTTCTTCATACATCTATCAACTTGCGCCGCCGACAAGAAAACATGATCTTGAGTCTCGACTGGGGTCACCGACAAAGAAGATAAAGACACACTCCTCTCTCTACAATCTAGGATAGCACCATTTGCAGCCATCCAATTCATTCCCACAATTACATCCATACCTCTCAGTGGTAGGATAATTAAGTCCATAGTTGTTTTCCTATTTTTAAACTCGACTACTAGGTTAAGGCATGCCTTAGCAGTCCTCACAGATTCTCCCGCAGGAGTAGACACATTCATATCAAAAGGTAAAATACACACAGGCAAATCAAGGTTCTTTACACAAGTTTCAGAAATAAAAGAGTGTGTAGCACCCGAATCAAATAGTGCAACAATATCATGATGAAGGATTTTGATGTTACCTCTAATGGCATCTGGGGAGTTCATGGTGTCCTGAGTAAGAGCAAACACACGGCCAGAGACAGTAGGATGTTGGGAAGGGTTCTTCATATTTGAGCCCTGGTTGTCCCCACAAAACTTTGCAATGTGACCGGGTTTCCCACAAATGTAACAGACCCAGCACTGTCCGAAATGACGACGCCCGCATTTAGTGCACTGTTGAGAGCTCGCTGTACTCGGGGCAGGGGTAGATACTGTTGGGCTCCTCTGTGACCCGTGATAACTACTATGATAGCTCCTCTGTCCTTGGCCCCTTTGAAATGGACCCTTCTGCCTTCCTTGGTTCCATGAGCTACTCGAACCCTGATGGTTTTTCTTCATAATGCCTCCGGTGGGTCGAGGGTAGGTTGGGGGTCTACTATATGAATAACCCCTCTTCTCTCTCTCAACCTCCTTCTTACTGCGAGCTACTACTTGTAGTTTTATGCACATTTCATCATAATCTCGGATATCTAGATGAGCCAATTGTTCCCTCAATTCTGGTCTAGCCTTCTCCAATAAGCGCTTAGCCTTCCATTCGGAATCATCCCTATACTGCAGGTACGTGGAGTATCTAGATAACTCCTGAAACTTAGCAATGAATGTGTCCTCATCGAGGTTCCCTTGCTTAAAGGCATGGAATTCCGCTTCCTTCTCAGACCTTAACTCTGATGGAAAGTAATGCCTGAATAATTTTTCCTTGAATTCCTCCCAGGTGAGTGTAGAATCATCCCTGGGCCCTGCTGTCTCCCACCAATCTCTTGCTCCTTTCACTAGGAGCACTAATGCTACTTGTACTTTTTGATTGCTGGTGCATGTGACTACTCGAAAGATGGATTCGAGTCTCTTCACCCATTCCTCTACCACGGATGGTTTAAGGTTACCATCAAACGTAGGAGGGTTAAACTTCCTAACAGTTTCCCACACATCAGTAATGGTCGGTGGGGCTCTCTGTTCCTCCTGCCTAATTTCCTTCCTTCTAGACTCATGATCTCTCGGAGTGGCAGGATGTGAGGAACTGCCTTCCCCCACATGACTCTCAACATGAGCCCTATCTCCATTTTCAGTTACCTTTTGCCTCTTTAGCTCCGTCAACTCTTGTTCGTATCCTTGAACCTTGTCTGTTAATGTTTTTACAAGCATTCTTAATTCCGCCAAGTCAGGCTCCTCATTTGGCAGTGGCGGTGGCAGGTGCTCATGTTGGAATCCTGAGTTACCACGAGTAACAGGCATTTTCTCTCCCCTCCTAAAGGATACAAGATATAAATAATAAAATTAGCCTAGCTATATCATGGCCATACAATGAGAAGCACCATAACAATGTATATTGCCAACCGACTATATGCTCTGATACCAATATGTAACACCCTCAAATTTACAAACCGATTTTTCGCAAATTATTAATTCAAGAAATCATTTTTTTTTTCATTGAACCCTTATTATACCCTTATCATGGTAGAAAAATTTCTACCATGATACATCCAAGACAATATACCACAGGTCTTAAAATATCTCAAAAAGCAATTAGAACCATGAGGGACAGACATGATCCTCATGCATGATATTTAAATTAGGTCATGAATCAAAAGGGACAGACATAATCCTCTTGTCATATAAATACTTTTAATAAAAAGGATTAGAGTTTACATGCTTTACAAAGAAGATATGTCCTAAGTTGGCACAAGATACATTGTATAATCCAAAATAAGAGGCAACGTAAAAGATGGTGTTTCATACACCATAGTTACACCTCTGGTGCTTTCTCGGCCGGACTCGCTCCTGTAAAAATATTAACCACGGGGAATGAGACTTAAAAGTCCCAGTAACCAAAAATTAATATGTAATGATGCATGCGGATGTAACTAATCATGCGATTGCTAAGTGGGCACACAAAACATTTAACCGAACAATATTTTCAAACAAACCGAACAAGTATTTAATTGCATGACTGCACCTTATATCCTCCTTTCACCATGCTCGGACGCCAAATCACCCGGCCAAAGGTGAGTTGGACCAAGCGACACGCCACTCATTGGGTCCAATGAGGGCTTACCACGTGGTAATAATTAACCGAACAGAAATTCCCATTAACACCATACATTAAAATACCCTGACAAGTCATGCATCATTCAAATATCCAAACAGAATATATCCGAACAATAATATCTCATCATGATAAACAAAAATAAATTTTTAACCCACTTGGCAATAATTTCAAACAAGTATATACAGTATTTATTTTCAATAATTCATAATTTTTCCAAACAACAAACAACACATAACCATTCACAAACACACTCATCACAACACATTAATAATGGTTACCTTGTGTCTTGAATAACAAGTTCCCCTTCACAACTCCTTTTTCACCACTATCTTTGTCAATATAATCTACATAATTATTTCACAATACTATATATTAATTTTACATTAAAATAAATAACTCTAATTTAAAGAGTTAGAAAGTCTTAGATCTATAATCCATATTAACACTAATTTAAGATTTATGCCTCATTTAACTTCCCAAATTCTTTTCTAAAATTCTCGTACCCTAATAAACTATTTTTTTTTATCCTCAAATCACTTCTAGTATCACAATTTCATCCTTCTATATTCTAAAAATTCGTCCAAAAATAAATTAAAAATTTTACAATTATCCTGAAGCCTCAAATCACCTTTCTATAACCTCAAAAATACCTATTCATACTTAAATAAATATTTAATAATCATAGGTTTATCCCTACATCTCAGATTCCACATAAATTCAACCATATAGATCTAGATTTTAACTCAAAAATTCTTAAACATGAGTTTCAACCTCAAGAAAATATTCTATAATATTTATTATATCCCTAAGAGTTTTAACCTATATTTTTAATCCATCATATCATCAGATTAACTATCCTATAGAAAAATCCTAATCAAAATATTTACTCTATCCTACAAAATAATCATATCATTAGAAAGCTAATATTATTTAGAAAATAACTATAAAATTAATTTTGTAATTAAATAAATTTTTAAATGCTAATCTAAACAGGAAAGTTAGAACATACCTGAAGAAAAAGAAAATAATCCTCCCTTGCGAGAAAACGCCGAGCAACGTGAGAGGAAGAGAGAAAAATAATATAAAAATGGGATTGTGAGTCCCAAAATTATATTAAAAAAACTATAGGTTTGAATTTAATTATTCAAACCTTTGGGCCAAAAGTTGCAATTTCCTCTAAATTGCATCTTAGCCTCTCATGCTTCCTAATGCACACACCCCCTCCTTTTTATACATGAAGGCACCTCTTCTCTTTCCTCATCTAACCAATGTGGGACTTAGAAACAAAACCTTCCACCCCCCCTTTTTTTTGTTCCTTCTACCTTCTCTTTTTTTTAACACACAAAAAAAAATTATTTATGTATTATATCTTAACTAAATATTGCTTATGTGGTTTTAAATTTAAATTTTTAAATTCATAATTAAATACCTAATCATAATATTATTTCTAAATAACCTCAAATAATATAAATTCCTATTATTATCATTTTTTTCTCAAAACCTAAATTCTATAATTTTTTTATTATATAAAAAATCAGGATGTTACACTCCGGACTAGGGGTGTTCACGGGATGGGACGGGATCGGGACACCCCCGTCCCATGGCCCGTCCTGAAAAATGATCGGGACTCAAAATTTGTCCCATGTCCCTTCTCGTCCCAAAAGTTGTCCCGTCCTGAAAGGAGTTGGGACGGGACCGGGATGTCCCGAATGCATATCAACAAGATTGTTATAATTTTTTAACTTATTACTTGACAAGAAAAAGTATATGTTACATTAATTAGAACCCCAAAAAAGTTCAATGCAAATTTCATTATGAATATGATTAATCATAGAAGTAATGACAGACTAGAAGAATTAAACCATATAAATTAAATTTTGTTCACAACTTAACACCCAGATCTTTTTCTTTAAAAATATTTCTTAACAATGTCCTACATTTATGGGAGATTTGGAGAGAAAAAAATTACCTCATACTGCTTCTATTTGAACGGCACTTGAGTTCTTCCCATATTCTCAATCACTTTAAATTCCTTCCCTGTAAAATCATATTGAAATAAAAAAAATTCAGTCTTGCTGTTTGCCTAAAGTATTCCTATAATTAATTTATCATTAATTGCAGAACTGAAATTACTATAAAAACACATTAAAGTTTTGAGAAAGAAGCTACTATTAGCGTGCCCCTGCAATTTATAAGTGGCAAAGAAAGATTGCCCTTACTTTTAGCGTGCCCCTGCAATTCATAACCTGATACTTAAAAATTGCTATGGCAAAGAAAGAAACAAATTAGAGGAAACAAATTTACTGCATGCTTTATAAGCAAAGCTATACTGTGTCAAGGTATTAAACCTGCCACTTTTTCTTGACCTTCTTCATACAATGTAGTCTCAACTAGTGATGCTGCCATCTTCCCCATACAAATATGCTTAGTCATGTAGAAAAAAAATTCAAGAAAAAGAATGCTTTTAGAAATACCAAGATTTCCCACTAAAGGAAAAAAAAGCAGTAATAGAAAATCAAATTAAATCAAGTCTAAGAAGAACATTTCAGCAATAATATTCAAAAGACAAACAACAACAACAATTCAGCAAATACAGCTTAATAAAGACAAGTAACTTCCAAGTGATAAGTGCAACAACAAGTCAAGAGTCAACAATTTAAGCCCCAAGGACAACTTCAACTTCGAGTCATTGCTCTTCCTCTTCAACTGAGATATTTGAAGCCAATGATTCTTATGAAAATAAAACAATAAACACAATATAAACAAAAATTATTAAATATAGATAAACAAAAAGTTAAATCATATTAAAAGAAATAATCAATTATAAAAAATGATATTACCTTCCACAGCTTGCTCTGTATCATTAAAATTATCAACGTCAACACCCTGTAATTTTGCAGTGGATGGAGATAGCCAGTTTTAGGCACAAATTAGTGCCTCAACTATCTTTGGAGATAGGGAGCTCCTAAAATCATCAATTACATGACCTCCTGTGCTAATTGTAGATTCTAAAGACACAGTGGAAACAGGTATGGCCAATACATCACATGCAATCAATGAAAGGACTTTATATTTAGTCGAATTCAATTTCCACCATGTTAAAATGTCAAAATTTGGATCAAGTGCTTCAACTAACTCATCATGCAAATACTTGTCCACCTTTGCATACTTATCTGCTTGAATCTCAGTCTCTTTTTGGGTGAGAAACCTTTGAAATAAAGCCCTAGACCTAGAGCTTAAGAAAGTTAAAGGCCTACAATCTGATCCAAGTAATTGAGTCAAACTACTTTTACTTGGTCCTTGTGTCTAACTCTAACTCTGACTTTGAGTCTGAGATGTGTCAACCCCACTTGAATAATGATCATATAAATGATACAAGACATCTGAGACCTTTTTTGTCATAGCTTCATGTTGTGTAGCCTCAGGAAACATATCCTCAAAAGCAAATTGCAAATATTTCATTTTATACCTTGGGTCAAGTACCACTGCTACCACAAGCAAAAGATTAAGTTTCTCTAAGTTCCCCCAATACTTATTATACTTAGTCAACATGCTCTTAGCCATATCACAAAGCAAGGAATCATGATTGTTTGCACTTTTATATAAAATTGCAAAGACATCAACTATTTGTTGAAAGCAAACATTTGAGGTCACATAAAGTGATCTTGAAAATTGTAAAGTAATATCATAGAACAACTTTAAAAAAATCATAAAATCTTTTGCATCCTTCCAATCATTTTCATTAGGGGGACCAATCAAATTTTTATCCAAGAGGAAGTTTCTATAATTATTATCTTGCTGCTCTATCCTCTAAAAAACACTGTAAAATTTAATTGCACTCTCTAACATGATGTAAGTTGAATTCCATCTAGTTGGACAATCCATGCTTAGTAGCCTCTTTGAATCAATTTTTATTTTTTCTACAAGCTCCTTGAATTTATGAAACCTTGATAGAGAAGCTCTCACATATTTAATGGCATTCCGAATGCCTTTAATACACTTATGCATATCCTTCACACCATCAAAAATAATCAAATTTAAGATATGCGCACAACAATGCAAGTGCAAGAACTCCCCATCATAAACTAAACCATTCCAATGCCTCAAGACCCCCTTTAAAGATGCCAAAGCAGTGTCATTAGAAGAAGCATTATCAACTGTGATTGTAAATACCTTATCAATAATCTAAAACAGCAAGCATTTCTTAATTTCTTGAGCAATTATTTCTCTCTTATGATTTTCAACTACACAAAAATTCAAAATTCGCTTTTGATATGTCCAATACTCATCAATCCAATAAGCAGTTAAGCACATATAACTGGCATTTTGATTGGAAGTCCAAGTATCAGTAGTGAGAGAGACACGTATTTGAGATTTTTTAAAATACCTTTTCAAGTTTCTAGCTTCTTCAAGGTATAACTTGTAGCAATCTCTAGTAACTGTCGCTCTTGAAGGGACTTAAAAGTGAGGTTCTAACCTTCTCATCATCTCTTTAAAACCATCACCTTCCACAACATTAAAAGGCATTTCATCTAATATTACAAATATAGCAATGGCTTGTCTGCAATCGAGTTGATTAAATAGATGATGACTCAAAGTTTTAGATGACCCTAATTGAGAGCCCGATGGTAAAAACTGTGCCAACTTGTTTGCTTTGTTTGGATTTCTGGGACATCTTTTTACATGTTTTCTAATTCCATTTGTCCCATGTCTTGTAGAGTCACAACCAATTGTTGTTGGGCAATACTTGCACTTAGCACGGGGTTCTCCATTAGTTTTGTCCAATGGCAACCTTTCAAAATGCGCCCAAACAGCTGATTTATGTCTCTTTCTTCCACTTTCTCCTTCATTCTTTGACTCATTTTCCTCTTCAGTACTAGGTGATGAAGCATGTTCAGGATCTCCTTCTATTGTTTCTACATTTTCTTGAAGAGTGGGTGTAGTGGCCATTTTTCTTTGCAATGTAGATTTGGCCAACAGCAGCAACAACAACTACCCTTAACTGATTAAAACCTCATATTAAATATTCAAATAGGCATGCATAAAAATCAAGGGCATTAAATTTTCACACATGCAAATAATCTAAATCATGTAGCCAAATACTTAAATAATTTATATGGTCAATATTTGCTTTACTTAATCCAAATGATGAAAATAAAATTGTGCATGTAACAAGTTCGGTTGAAAGCACCACCACTTCTTGTTCTTGTTAAATAAAATTCTAACATGCAAATTAATATAATCAAGTTAATTAAAACATGGATATATATACTGTATTTGTAATGAAGTACCTATTTTTGTCAATCTACAAATAGAAATAGTATATACATGGGCATATATATTTCAAATATAAATAGTATTTGCCTTTAACAATGGAACCGTGAAAATTGAAATCTCATGCACAAACAGAAGAGGATATACATGGGCATTAATTTATCAACTCAAAATGCCAAACACAAGCTCAATCATCCTTATTAATTTATTTCTCAGCATTCAACAAGACAACAAATGAGCAATGAAACGCACTAGATTTGAGGACTGCTTGCAGATTTGAGTAGAAGAGAACGATGGATTTGAGGTAGCACCAGATCTAGGTAGAAGAGAATAACCTTGCAGCTGCATCAAATAATCTTGCAACAAATACCTTGCAACTGTGTCACGTGGAGGTGGAGACAGAGGCATAGTTGAGGTTGCGAAGGCAGAGGCGTGAAGCTATGCGACTTGTGCAGCTCTCGTCTTCGTGCGTCAGAACTCAAAACAGAGAAAGATGTGGAAGCTTGATGCTAAAGATGTGGAAGACATGAACAGAGAAAGCATTCGTGATGAAGGGAATAATAACAGTTCAAAAAGGAGATTCAGGGAGGAACGCGTGGACTGTGGTACGAAGGTAGCCTCTAGTCAGAAGGACCAAAATTGAAGGTCTACTGAGCTGTGCGACTGATTTGTGGCTGAGGGTTAGAGGCTTGGAGCTGGAGCTTTGAAAGGGAAAGCTGGAAACCGAAGTCTGGATCTGGAAAGTGGAAATTGAAAAGGGAAAAATAAAAAATGAACTCCCTACTGCCACATGTGTGTCTTAGCTGCCTTAGGATTAAAGCTGAAAATTGAAAAATACCATTAAAAATCAGTTTAATTAAAATAAATAAATAATAGTTAAAATTAAAATATATATATATATATAATTA